CCCCAAAACCCCAAAACCCCAAAACCCCAAAACCCCAAGACATATTCATTCGTTTTTTAGACAATTAAGAGTTTTTGTAAATAAAGTATTCAAATTATTATTAAGTTAATTCCTGAATACCAGCAAACCTTTCTATAATAATACAAATTATCTTAATAGTGCAGTTATAAAAATTGAATTCAAAATCCTTGCCTCTAAGCCAGTGTTAATTTATCATTAGATGCTTAAGAATATGATAATGCAGGTGATGTCGTCAACCACATTCTCCTCCTACTTCCACCTTTTTAGTGACTCTCGAATTAAAGCTTCAGCTGCTTTCTCGGCACTGTTATTTTTATAATGAGGGTATATTATTCTCACAACTTCATCATTTGAAAGGAACTCCCAGACTCCATCGCTGGCAATCACTATAAACTTATCATCTTCGATCAGGTTCATTTCGAGTATCTCAGGTTCAGCAATGACTCCCACTTCAGCTGCAGCATGATCTCCAAAAGATCTAGACATTGCTAGTCCTGGAATGTTCTCATGCATATGCCACACTCTAAGTGGACCCAGTTATCTACCAGAGGGATCTTTGAAAGATTCAATTCGCCCACCAGCGTTTAAGATACGTTTTTCCTCATCAGGCTCACTGGCCTTATGGTCTCTATTCAGAGGGAAACCGCTTATATGCCCATCTACATCTCTGGCCAAGACAGCTCTTGAGTCGCCTACATTTGCACAGAATACTTTATTACCAACAATCAAAACTGAAACACAGGTTGATCCGCTGAAGTATATTTCAATTCCTGAGTTAGTGTATAACTATTAAGTCACATGAGCAAAACTGAGAGCCAAAGCGTCTTTTACTTCATTTGAATCTACCACTCTCTGTAGCTGTTTTGCATTGTCAAAAATTATCTTAATCTCGCCTTCCACCTTCATTCCAAGCTACTGCTTAATGAATTCGCTGACCTCCTTCCCATAAACTCCATGACCGTCACAAACCGAGAAAAAATGAGTTCTTCTATATTCACCTAAGTGAGGCATAGCTAGGAATGAGTCCTAGTTTACCTTGTAAGGGTTACTCGGAGAAAACCCTGTCTTAGTGGCAAAGGCAAATTTACTCACACAGTTGTCTACTTTTTATTTACTATCTATAGGAGCCTATGTTGTGACTTCTTGATTGATAGAGGCTCTTAAATTATGAAAGTTATTGGCTTTGTATCTTGACTGCGAACTAGGACGCTCCTCTGATCTGGATTTAAGTTTTCTACTTTCCTCCTCTGGATTGTGATCAATGGTGATATTCTTATCCTCAATGCTGTTGGATTTATTTGTTATTGGCTAATTTTAGCTTTTAAGAAGAGAAACCCCTGGGCCATTAAAGACTTAGCCACTTCTATTTAGTTTATGTGAAGTTTAGGATCTACTATTAGTTTTACTGCCTGTATTAGTTTCCTGAGATGGCTGTGTCTACTTACTCATGTTAAATTTTTCAATCTGTGTCAGATTATTACCATCCTCGTGAGCACTTGTCTTATTGATACTATTTGCCCCAGTCTGGCTCCCACTATTATTATTTGCTGTGTTACTAGCCTGATTCAGACTTACAATCAAATTCTGCTTTTATTCATTCATCAAATGAAATGATTCTTAGTACAAATTTTTCTTTAAATGACCCTACTAGTTTTTAAACTAAGGCGAGAGTGAGACTATCTAAGAGGGATTGATTTATTACGATGCTATTTGCTATTATTACTGAATAGTCAAGAAAGATTAGCCTGCTATCACTTTGCTATAGTCTCTTTTTCGCTTTGGCTTACTAATTTGATTAGTAAGTCTGATCTAGCTATCATTGCTGGTTACATTTGTAGTTGTGTTCAGCTATGTCTGATTAAGCTGAGATTGCTATGAATTGCTATTTCCGATCACATTTACTGATTAATCACTCAGCTTCCTATGATTGGATGAAGAATCTAGACTTTTTCTAAGATAGCTGCGTAAACCTTCGTTTCTATCGCCCTTCTTAATGATAAATGGTTTTTAGAGAGCCTGGCTTGAAGGCAGTTATTAGTGTTGATAACTATGTTCTTTTTTTGAGAGGGTTATATTTTCCAACTCCTCTTGGAGATTTGAAGGTAAATCTTTAGAGTCATTCTCCGGTAGTGTGCTAGTAGCAGTTGTAGAAGTGTTAAATTTATCAAGGAAACTTTAATATCCCATGGAAGTCTTAGGCCTTGGGTTATTGCTTTTAAAGGAGGTGTTAGTCGTATTCATGATGTTGTTATTTTATGGATTTGAGGAGTCAGATTGATTCAGATTATTGTTGTTATTTTAAGTTGTCAAATTTATTAAGGAGTTGTAATCATGGAAAGAAGAGTTAACGTTCCTTGAATTTTCAATTGTTCCATTAGTATTTTCATCTAAGGATGTTAATCTTTTGTTATTTGATGTTATAAATCTAGATCCTCTTGAATTAGGTTACTCATTCCCCTTAGCAGTAGTATTATTATAGTCATTTAGCCTGCCTGCCTTTGATGAGGGCCTAACTAACTGCTACTTTTTAGTGTCTATAGATCCACCCTATCTTCTATTAAGTGAATTCTAGCCCTGCAAAGTCTAGTTCCTCTTCAAATTCAATGCCTACTGAACACTTTAAATGGTCTGAAACTAAGAAATTATACTATTAGTTGTATTTTAAATGTTAGCACTATTATAATTAGCAGCTGCAGAAGATCCAGCCATGTTATTCAGTTTGATACTGAAGTTCTTTGGCGAGATAGAGATGTTTTACTGCTGTTTGATGACTTGCTAAGATAGATTGGCTGCTGTGCTAGTGCTTAGCTAAATCAAACCATTCATGTAAGATGTGTTTGTTGGATTCGCATTAGTAATAGGATTCATGTTAGTGCCTCTTAACATGTCTTGAGCTGCTTGAGTTGAATCTAACGACTTGTTTACTATATGCTTCAGTTGCTTGAAGCCTGCAGATTATGAAACATGCTAAGGTTTTCGCCCTATGCTATTTAACTTTGACTTCGATTTGTAAAGTTCATTGCTACTTGGTGATAAATCTCTAGCGTTCTAAATTTTATCTTAATCATGTGAAGATGAATAATTATTGATAGCACTGTTATTGCCATATCTCGGATTAACTCCATAATTCATAGTATTTATACCTCCAATATTATTATAATCTACCACAGCTGCTTGGTTTTGTCCTGTTAAGTGATTATTATTATTGCCTGTGACTTAATTCATGGTAATATCCGAAATGTTGGCTCGATGCTTGCTATTTTAATTTAATATTCTCCCAGCTGCTCCAACTACACCACCATCTGTCAAAGAACCTACAATATTAGTAGAATGCTAGCGGCTATTGACAGCGTTTTAAGGGGCTACTTGATTTAAAAATTTGGAGATTTGTAAGTTATTTCCTGTGCTATTGTTTGCCTGTAAAGATAGCATATTGTTGTTTGAAGCATTAATTTGAGCACTGTTAGATGTCATTTCAACAATGTAATATTGTTTTTTAAAAAAATTAACTTCTTTAATAAATTATATCTTTTTTATTTATTGGGAATGCAGAAAAGTTTACAAAGGGAGTGAGCTGATTAAATTATTAATATTTTAAGTCAGCAAATAAATGTTCAAAAACTCCTATTAATATGGCAAGTATGTTCCACTTTTCAACATTCAAAGTAAGTGTCACCTCTTTATAACTCATAGCTTCATATTTGCTTATAAAGTCTTATAATTCAAATGGTTATTCTAACTATTGATAATTTGATAGGTAAGGAAACCTTGAATAACTGGAGTTTTCAAGGATCAGTCAAGAAAGCCTATGATAAATCTTGTAAGAGTTTCATTTTACTCTTCGATCATGCTACTAAGGCTCAGATACCCAGCGATCCGAGGTAGGCTGAACTATATCTTGTTTAGCCTTACCTTATGCTGCAATTAATGATCACTGACAAGAAACTATTTCACATTGAAGTTACTGTAACTGATCAATAAAAAACCAAAAGGAGACTTATATTTGCAGCTGGAAGTGCTTACTCTTATTCTAAAGATAACATCATAAAGCAGCCACTTCATGCAAGGATACCATGTGACATGATTAGAGAGGGGGTTTGGATAAATCTACAAATTGACATATAGAGTTTTGTAGAAGTATGCTTTGGCTAAATGAATTTTAGATCAGTAGATGCAATAATGATAGCAGGTGCATGCAGACTCAGAAAGGTTATGACTATGAAAACCTAAATTATTGATAACACTTCCCTTTGGCTAGAAAGGGAGTACGGTCAAGAGATATCTTAAGAATATGAGTAATAGTTTGGGGCTGTTGACTTCTCAGCAGAAGAACTAGCTGGCAATATGAACTTTACGAACGGAGTAGACTTTATCAATCAAGTTATTTCCTTTGATAAGATCCTATTTTGGGGTTACCTCATGGAGAATATTATCCAAGTAGGAAATGGTGTTGATAAGAAATATAAGAAAAAGCCTAACATAGCTTTCGGCTCAAGAGTTACAGAAAAACCGATACTTGAGGAACAATAAAAAGTGAAAAATGCTTTAGGACAGGCTAAAAATATAAAGCAAAACTCCTCCTAGGAAAGATCAGAGTAATACACATCAACAGCATCACCATCTTAGTATTAGCGAAGCGTTGCTCCATTGAGAGGCACAGGCTAAGGTAGTGATAATAGCAATCCCAGAAAAGGAAGATACTTGAACTAAGACATAAGCAATGTGGATTATGAGTTGCCTTAACTAGCTGGTGGCGGTAGAAGTATGGAATACTAGTAGTATTAAACGCCTTTGCATCATAAATCTATGATCTCTCATAATACCCGCTCTCAAGATGATGATTCAAATGTGGATTTTACCTAGTATAAACTAACAACAATGAAAAAAACCAGAAATATGCAAGACAATAGTGCGGGCAGAGGGAACGCAGCTCCCTCTAATTATCAAACACCTCCTAAACGATAATTTATCCCAACTAGTCTTAAATAAAACTATTCACAGCACATACCTAATAAGAGGATAGGAGTAAATCAATTTGATGACCATTATCTTAATGAGAAGATCAAATACTTATAGAACCAGAGACAGATTATACATCAACTTGCTGATAAATATGGGATTCAAAATAATGTGAAGGTTGAATAGCTCTCCTTAATTAAAAATGTGATCGGTGCTCATCACAGACATGACTAAGCGAGTTATCTTTCTCAGGATCCAAAAGAAAGAATAAAGGAATATCATTAGCAGGTAAATGAAAGAAGGCGCTAGATTCATCAGAAAGCCAAAGAAAAAAGGAAAAATAATCCTGATAATGAGACTTTGGAATAAATCAAATCGAATAACAAAAAGGGCAAGCCTAGAAAGAATAGAGTGATAAATTAGACTCAGGCTTAGATTGATGAGTAGCAAGAGAATGAAGAGGAATAAGAAGATGGAGATGACATAAATAAGGAAGAAACTATATAAGCTAAAAAGGCTAAAATACAAAACATTAACAATGAGGATGGTAATGTAGATGGCTGGGATAATGAAAACCAAAAGGATGATTATGGCAACGAAGATTATGGAGATGAGAAAGATGAAGGTCAGGGTAATGATGATAATGCAAATGAAGAAAATCCAATGGATAACGAAGAGTACGGAGAGGAAGAAGACTAAAAGGAAATCGGCAATAAGGATGCTGATGATTATGGAGTAGAGTAGGATGAGGATGCAGAAGAGAAAGAGGAGGAAGCTGGAGTAGGAAATGATGAGAAGGAAGAGATAGGAGCTAATGAAGATTATGGAGAGGAAGAAGTAGAAGGTCAGGGAGATGAAGCTGAGGAGGACGAGTATTGAAAGTTATAAATAAGTATTAGAATATTTAGTATGATATCTATGAGTAGAATTAGGCTATTACTTTAAGAATAGTTATATATTATCTTTTTAAAATCTTTAAAAAAGATGATAGATATAAATTTGATAACTAAATTAATTAAATGACTTAAAAATTATTCACAACTAAAAATCATGATAATAAACCATAATGAGAGAGCTCTTAAACTCAGCAGCACAAATGTCTACCAAAACCTTCTTCAGCAAACTACCAATGCAAAGAAACATTGCTCTCCTATATGATCTATAAGTAATAATGTTGCTGTTGATAGTAAACTTCTTAATGGAATTGGGAAAAGTAGAGCAAAGTTTTATGAGACATTTATTTAGAATAAGATAAAGTAGAGCCCAGATAAAAATAAGTAATCAGATGTGAATTAAAACCCTAAAATTGATATTAGAAAAATAATGTTTCAAAATTGCAATCATCAGGCATTTGAAAGTGTTTACAAAAAGTATTCACCTAACAAAACTAATTTACAACAATAAGCACATCTCAACATCCATTAGTCTTAGTTTTAATAAAATAATTATCTAAACTACACTAATCATAGTATCTTGGATACTTTTGGATCAACAAGGAAAACAAGCAGGCCTGGGTCATAATTAAATGATGTAAATGCAGAGATTCCCTCACCCTTTTAAAGAGAAAAGGTATCTCTTCATAATACAAGCTTAGATTTTGCTACAGCAGCTGTCTCTAGTTTGCCAATCAATACTCAAAATAACAATATAAAAATGATGTAGAAGTTTAGATTAAACAATGCAAAAACTGAAATGAGAAAATCTCCTTCAAAGAGAAGTAAAAGTCCTGGATCTTTGTAGTAGAAATTTGGATTAAAAATAGCAAAGCATAATATTTAGTTTCAAAGAAACTATCCAGAGTAAATCAGCAATAACACTACTCAAAATCACTCTATTTACGAAAATGAAAGGAAATCAGCTTTTGTACAATCTCAAAGGGGTAGTATATAATAAGAAAGTGGAAGACTACCTAACTAGTTTCACAAAAATCGGAAAGTGGTCTCTCCTCATAAGTAAACTAGCTTACAACCAATGAATAAGCCAGACAAACTTAATTCTAGTTCAGATATCTTGATGCAAATGAATAAAACTGATTCTCATGATAGATTAGTAATCAAGCACATGAGAAATAATGCTAAGTACTTCAATTCATTTAGGTAATCCCCTTAAATATATATTCGGAATAACAATTAATTAATGGGTTAAATAGGAGGCCCAAGGAATTACCTTAACATGTCCCCAGATTTTATTAATTAACACAATAGCCCAATTAAATAATCTCTTAAGTAGGGTAAACCTTCTGAATAAAATCTTGAGCAGATAATCATAAACAGACTAAAAGACATAAACTATGAACTGTTTAAAGTGATACCATTAGATAAATTAATATAAAAAGCAGCTAAGAGCAATAAAAAGGGTAATAGGAGTCCGCCTAAAAGATCTCAGCTAATTACTAAGAAGAGTAGAAGTACCTTAAATAACTCATCGTTAACTACTTAGTCCAATATTACCCCATCCAATGGTCGAGCTACAAATGATTATTCCTCAGTTAGAGATTCAAACCGAAATAGGACAGACTTGGCAAGTAATTAGAATACAGCTGATGCTCTATTCAATATAAATTTAAATGGAAACAATCACACTTAGGGTAGTCCATATTAAAACAAAAGATCTAAACTTCATTCGGGGGAATAAAGTCCCTCTAGGATAAATGAATAAAAGCAAGCATATCTAAACGATGAATTATTCTATTAAAACTCCTAAGCAAAAGATGAATTTTTCCAAGAAAATGCTAACATGGATTTCAAGTATGATGTACAAATAATGTTTGATGAGTATAATAAATTACTAAAAGAATAAACAGAGAATCTTGAGAGATAAAAAACACCTACCAGAAAGTCAGTTCTTTCCAAGAAAAATGAAAAACTTATCTATCATTAAAACCATTAGGAATACATGAATGATTACATAAGTAATTTTGAGTAGCTTTATTACTAAAAACTTAATACTGAAAAAGAAAATAGTAATGCCAAGAGGTACTAACAGAGTAATGACAAGGAAGATTAAGAGTTAGAATTTAATGAATTTGATGCCTTTGACTTTCAGATAATTTCCTAGAAGATTCAAAATCAAACAAGAAAGCAGACTAAATGAGCTATAACGAAATTTAAAAGTCTCTTTCTAAACTAATTGGTATATTTATATATCTATTTTTAATTTTGATAGACTATTTAATTTAAAATCACAGACTAAAATTTATTTTATGGGGTTTTGGGGTTTTGGGGTTTTGGGGTTTTGGGG